TTTGTTTAGTTGATACTTTTAATAAATAAACGTACATGAAGAGAATCTTCTCACGGAGAGAAATTTTGCCACACTAGTAAAATGTATAGCAAGTATAATTCCTAGTAAATGTGTGATAAAATTTGAAAGAAAACTCCCAGCAGTGGTGCACGGAGAGAATTTTTTCTCAAAATTTATTCTGAAAATTATGTAACAACACATTTTGAATATATGGTAAAATTTCCAAAAACTCTCATAAAATTCCTCATGATTATATGAGGATTTCAGAATAAATTTGATAAGAAAATTCTCTCCGTGTAGTATACAACAAAAGTAGCGCACGTTTAAGGCGCTACTGATAAATAATATAATGATAAATACTGATAAATATAATAATATAATAATAAATAATCCATGCATTTAGTCGAGTAAAGTAGATTTATATGTATTTCTTATAAACGCATCGAGATCGGAATGGAGGAAGCCACTAATCGCGCCCACCATTTCAGCATTATTTCCATTTCCATGGTTCGACATCGAGTCGTGGAAGCTCATCGGCAAGTCACTGAGAACTGCAATGCATTACGCGGTTATCATAAAAGTTACATCGCGACAAATGTATTTAATCTGCCGATATTGCAATATCGCTCTGGGAGGCTTCGATAGGTATGCTACGTAATTCCGGTTTAGCCCCGGATTTCCGAAGCTCTTGATGCTTTCGAGTATATACGTGTGCATGTATATAATACATGCTTTTAATATCGCAGCGACTGCGAGGTAACTTTGCTACTTCGGAACTTGGCGGAATCGGCAGCGGCAAAGTCGCAGCGCGAGCTGGGGGAGCTGATGCTCTACCGTCGCAAGACAAAACTGGCACGCACTCGAGTTTGTATTTATCAGCACCCCCGCGCTTCGGGGAGGGGGGGGGGACACGATGGATTCGCTGATTAATTTCCTTACGGAACACTTGCCGCGCTCAAAAGGCTGAGCGCTACCTCCGACGCTCCGAGCTGCAAGCCCGTAATTAAATGGCACAGCAGCGGATATATATCACTCTCCAATAACTAATGTGCCGGGATCAATTCTGGTAATGCGCCAGAGATGAGGGGGGCTGAGCCACGAAGAAAAGAAAAATTACTTTATCGGTTATCCGACTCGACCAGGCGGGACGAGCCAATTTCGTTTCAATTAAACCATCAGAATTCTCCCCCCCTTGCCTCGTGTACCTCCTTGTAAGAAAAAGAGAACCTTCCGACGCGTACATTATACAACGGGTAAATTATAAGCACGAAGAACGTTGTCACGTGGTTTGTTTCGGTGTGACTGGCGGTGTAACTGCAGTACCTATTTAACACGCCGAAAGAAGTCTCTAACAAGTATACACTATCCAACTGCCACTCACCGATTTGAATAAAACTTGGCGCACTCATTGAACACGAAAAAAAAATTATTGAACGCGTGTTTTTTGGTTTCGGCTCAATGCGCAGTTTAGGGGTAGAAATCGCCCTTCAACCCCAGGGGTGGGAATTGCCACGGCGAATTATTTTCGGAACGATACATTTTAATTAAATCTTGCCTTCACTGGCTGGATCCTGATCACATCTTGCCTTCATTGGTTGGTTCTTGAACACACCTTGCCTTCACTGGCTGGATCCTGATCGCAACTTGCCTTCGCTGGTTGTATCTTGATCATACTCTGCCTTATGGACAATGCACTTCCCTCTCTTTCCTTGGTTATCTTCAAAATCCACATTGGGGTCGATCTGAAGGTCAACATTAACTGCATTATGTATAACTCCACAGATATCTCTATGAACATCAAGGTGTAGGAACACACGTTTCCAACATATCGTTCTGGGGATGAACATAAAATTCCGGAAGGAAAACAAACTGACCTTCAAATGACCTTTCTGGGCCAATAGAATCCCTCATGCTACTCTTCATGTGAAATTTCGCGTTCTGCCGATTCTCCGGATCAAAGGCGTGCTAGCACCTTCAAAAAACACGAATTGACCACGAACTGACCTCGATGATCGACCTGAATATCAACTGCAAGGTCACCATTAAGTACAACACACTGAACCCTAAAACTTTTGTTCCGGGCATTTTTTTCGAAAACTGTATCGTTTCGACAATAATTCGCCGTAACAATTTCCACCCCTAGGGATCGAGGGGTGATTTCTACCCTCAAATTGCGTATGGAGGCGAAACAAAAAAATACGTATTCAATATTTTTTGGCGTTCAATAAGTGTGCCAAGTTTCATTCGAATCGGTGAGTGACAGTTGGATAGCGTTACTTGTAAAAGGTATCGGACCCGCGAGTTCGTTGATTACAAATTGAAGATACCGATCGCTCCGCGGGCTCCGCTTTCGCAAATGTGAAATTCTAGAGTACTTCCCGGATTGCCTCGATTACGAATAATCTCTAATTCGCCGTAAATAGGCAACATATCTGCGAATACCTTGCGCGGCTGGAATTTAACCCCCGGCGTAACGCACACTCTCATCCTCGATTATGACAATGAGGTATCAGCTGCCAGCGGCCGGAGTCTCGAGGGTCCCGGTGCTCCCTCGTCGACCCGCCTCGAAATCGATCGATCTTCATTTTCGAAGGAAGAGGCGCGTGATGTCGGAGCCACCGAAAGTTGCAATTCTCGAATGCGGCGCGAGAGAATGACGGCGGCGCGGCCCCGAGGTCGTCCAAGATTGATGCGATAGGCCAAATTAACAGGATGCTCGAATTAATCCATTCTAAATAACCCCGAGTCATCTATCTTGCCAGCCCGGAACTGCTGGCGACTTACCGCGCTGATTCTCCTCGGTTCGCGCGGGCGATAGAGAATCGGCGAGCGCGTCCTCGGTCCTTCGAGGACCTTATCTCGTCAAATATTTAATGGCCTCGCTGTACAGGACGCTTTCTTACGCCGCGAAGCGAGAGGCAAGCCGCGAGATAACGCGGACGATTTCTTTGAAGCTAATCGCTTTAAGACGCCCTTTGTAATCGCGCGGCTATTGAAAAGACGTGAAATGTAATATTATGTCATGCGGAATACAGCGTTCCTGCGTTGGAGAGGAATTTCTAACAAGATTTTTTTCAAGGATTTGTTATTTTGTGATGAAAATTTAGTGCCATCAATGTGGCAATCGTTAGCTGGTTCGACAAGTTTTCAGACCACGTCTGGCAATTTCGCTCGCAACGCTGCATCACTGAGCGCCGCAATTTGCATACGCATAGATAAGACGCAAGGAATCTTTGAACAAACAGCATAAGTTCCGTTGCGTCGAACTAGTTAATGCTAATATTACGCGAATATTTGAATAGAAACTATGTTACGGTGGCATTAATGGTCATAGGAAATAATGAAAAGCGGTCTCTCATATAAATCATTACAATTTATTCGTCGAAAATCACACAGGAAATATGATCTGAAATATTTTACCTTGGATAGATACACGAAACACCTAAACCGAGAGAATTTTCTTTTAAAATTTATCCTGAAAATTATTCAATCGTGGCACAACACGGCATTTCCAGGAATTTTAAGACAGTTTTTTTTAAATGTCACGTTATCCCATGATTACATGATTTTCAGAATAAATCTTAAGAGAAAATTCTCTCGGTGCGTCACTGCTAAGAGTTTTTTTCAAATTTTACTAGTAGAATGTGTGATAAAATTTCAAAAAACTTATAAACTTCCTCAAAATACCATGTTCTCCCATGATTACATGACTTTCGGGATAAAATTTAAGCAAAAATTCTCTGCGTGCACCGCTACTAAAAGTTTTTTTTCAAATTTTACTCGTAGAATGTGTAATAAAATTACAAACACTAAACCCCGTCAAAATGCCATGTTGTCCCACGATTACATAACTTTCTGGATAAATTTTAAGAGAAAATTCTATCCGTGCATCGCTACCGAGAGTCTTTCAAATTTTACTAGTAGAATCAGTGATAAAATTTCAAAAAACTCTTATAAACTTTTTCAAATTGCCGCATTGTCCTACGATCACGCGATTTTCAGGATAAATTTTAAGAGAAAATTCTCTCGACGTAAAAATACTTGTCCCTCTTTCTTTTTGCGAGACGCGAGTAATTTGACGAAATATACAAATTATATACATTTTGCGAATCTCAGTTCTAAAATCTCAATTCTAAAGTAACTCGTCGAGGAATCCTCTTCGAACATCCATCCGCGTGACCTCCTCTTCTTATTCATCCCGGCTAGAAACGACTCGGCGGCTTTAGTAGCGGACGTGGATTTTGAAAGAAAAAGATGGGCGCTTTACGTAAAGCGTCTTTCGCATTCTGAAAGCGTCGGGGACCAATGGAGAACAATAGATCTGATTAATGCGTGATGGTATCAGCGGCACATAGCGCGCGGGCGAGCAGAGCGGACAGTCAATGGCCGCAATTTACACCATCAGCTTTCTGATTGTATCTAATGGGCTGCATTCTGCTGACGTAACCGCTTGATGGCCCAGAACGTGAGCGACTCTCAATAAATCGGACACCGGGGGTCTCCTCCCGGTGACAGTGCGCGCGCGGTCCGTATGGAAATTGCGCGTTTCTGTTTAGCGGGCGTGCTCCGCCCGTGTTCGCGCCGATGGAATCTCCCCCGCTGTCTGGAGAACATCTGGGCGTAGGAAGGGGTGAATTAGCAGGACGCGAGATAATAGCCGGCTAAATATACCACGCTGGGACACGTCTCGGCGAGGCGTAGCGCATCGAGCTGGCGAACAATTTGTCTTCGCCGGTCCCTTATCGCGTATCTTAGCCGTCGCAACAGGTGTTCTCCATGTCCCGTGACGCAGATACCGAAAAAAAAAACTAATTTCTTAGCGCCAACGCGTCGGCGCCCGGCGTCACTGCGACGCGCGACAACTCGCACGCGTGACGTAACGATCTCGCTGTCGGTTTGTTGCAAATCGCGAAAGCGAGATCCTGAACATTAATTGAACGCGCGTGCGTGGCTCCAAGAGGTGGAAAGAGGGTTGCGAAAATGTTGCGTGCAGTTATGAGGGCTATCGTACTGCATTTATCGAGAGGAAATATTCTCTTTTCGTTGCAGATACTACCTGGCCACTTCGGAGCGCGAGTCGGCGGTTCAGCACTTGTACAGAGTGTCGCTGCTGGACCCGGGGCGCAAGTCGGCGTGCTTGACTTGTAACGTTGTCAGAGAGAGGGACGGCAGCCGTTGTTTGTACAACAGCGCTAAATTCTCCACCGACAATTCGCACTACGTGCTCACTTGTGCCGGGCCCGGAGTACCCGATATAGCCATCTACAATAAGGTACGTATTTGTTATGATCGAACCTGTATTCTTTTTTTCGCCGAGCCTTTTCCACCGCGAACCGCCTTGGAGCTGGGGAGGGTTTGACCCTCTGCTAATTAAAACCATTTCGAAGGTTACAGTACGGATATCGGAAAAGAGTTCTTGGTGACGAGACAAAACGTTCTTGAGGAGATGCTGGAGTGATTCTGCACTTTTGCACCTTTTGCACTTAAAACTGTCTGTTTCGTGGAAACATTTGTGTAATATACAAATTAAATGGCTCACGTGTGCAGATCGAAAGCAGCTTGCTATTCCGGTTAAATTAAAGAACAATATGGCATCACTGAAACTATACCACATGTACGGTATGTGTGTGTTGCTCACTATTAATTTTTATTAGGCTTACAAGCTTAGTTTCAGTGATGCCATATTATTCTTTCATTTGGCCGGAATAGCGAGCTGCTTTCGATCTGTACACGTAAGTCATTTAATTTGTATATTACACAAGTGTTTCCGCGAACTGATAGTTTCTAGGTTAGAAAGGTGCAAAAGTGCAGAATCACCCCAGCATCCCCTTAATTAAACTTACCGCAACCTTATGCAATAAAACAATATTGAGATTAATACACTAATCCTAAGTTTCCTTTCTCAAATTAAATATGAGATTGACAGGAATAACGTGTGTAAATTTAAGCTCACATTTTTGCCTTTAGCCTGAATCTCTCGACGTTTTATTAACACTCGCGCCAGCGTTTGTTCCAGCGTTCGTTCCAGATTTAACAATTTTTCATTTAGGATTGAATTGGGATTTTTCTCAATAATGAATATTTCCGGAAACATCTTCTGTACGTGCAGAGATAAGCTCTTTACATTATCAATAGCGATACGTTAACAAAGCTATTGTGAACATAGACGATGCGCTCTTAACAAGATATTGACAGCGGCAGACAATGATACGGAGCACAAAACGGTGTACGGTTAGTCCTTCGTCAAATGAACGCGATGAACGCGATGAACGGGATGTGCGTGAAAAAGTTGGTACGTACGTCGCAGAATTATATATAATTATGCGTTATATAATTTGTCCTGATACGCGCAAATTCCGGCCTTTGAAGGAATTAATATCTGAAATTCAAAATAATGAGCGTAATCCATCAGATTGGACCTCTAATTTCATTAGGCGAGGGAACGTAACAGGTATCTCGTATATTCCCGCTTTCTCCCGTACTAGTTCCAGCTTTGAGTGCAATGTTATTGCTGCGCGGCGCGTTTGATAGGTTTCATCAATCATTACGTTGTATGCAGCCCGGATTTCTACAAATTTGATCCCCTCCGAATGGAGCGAGAGAGCGAGAGCGCGCGCGCGAGAGAGAGAGAGAGAGAGAGAGAGAGAGAGAGAGAGAATTGGCGCGTATATGCTGCGAAATTCCTTTTGCTCGCCGCGCTGCATTACGAATCGCGATATTATATCCGGATCGCGAACAATGATCTTTCGTATCGCGCGCATTTGCATACGGTATAGACGTACGGATGACGGCCGCGTAATTCTGCTAGCGAGAGGTACACGAGCCGGCGCGGCGCGCGGGCCGCTATCGGACAAGCGAATCGAATAAATTTTGTTACAGCAATAGAATACACGGCGGTAGTAACTACTGTGCGCGCCGCGCAGGATTTAGTCCTCGGCACGAGTAATATACGAGCCCACCGCGCGCTCTCTCTCTCTCTCTTGGCTGTAACAAAGCTCCGGGCTCCGAAATCCCGCGCGCAAAACACATCGCGCCCGCGATACCGCCCGCCCGGCCTAATCAGATCGGAATCACATCGGGACAGATTATCGCGACATTGTTGGCGACCTCGTAAAAAGCGCACAATACACGGCGCGACGGCACGGGGCGATGCATTAAGCCGCGAGTGCTTTTTCGCCGTGCGCCCGCTATTGTTTTGCGAATTCGCAGAAGGAGAATAATCGAGCGCGCGGGAGCCAAAGAGTCATTTATTTCCGTGGGCGAGCGTAACCGCGTCATGCATATTCGATGGCGCGATCAGAAAAGCCCGTGGCGATTAAATTAAATGCAAAGAACGGGCGAAAGTGAGACTCGCGCCGCGATTAAAGGACGCCGGAAGCTGGGTAATTGTTGGAAATTGAAAAATGAGCTGTCGTTATTTTTTTTTTAAAGCAGCGACAACGCTGCGAAACTATTCATATTTCGCCCCGGCCGTCGCTATTTGACCGCATGCCTGCAACCATTTTCGACCCGGTCACGTTTTGTATCAATTTCCAATTTCGCTACGTAAATAAAACACGTTGAGAGAAATGGCGCAATCAACAACGGCCGCTGGCTGGAATCGGCGATTCGCAAGTGTCGCGTATAAATTTAATAACTTACTGCGAGAACAAAGTTGCGGAATGAAACAAAATTCGTCGCGTGTTGTCTTTGGCGGAGACCCGGCGCCGCTTTTGAGTTTATCAAATGGCGAAACTTTGTTTAAATCTCTCTAACGAATTAGCTATTGAATCTAATAATAAATTCAATGCGTAAATTGAATCCCCTGTGCCACGTCATTCCAGTTCGAAGATTTCACGAGGAAGACAGAAAAAGATCGGCAAAAACACTAATGTCTTTCGACAAGAGACAGAATAATGAATTCAAAATAATTAATTCAAACGTTCAGGAATGAAGTTTTGTATTGTTCGAACGATAATAAAATTAGGGAAAATGACGGTCGGATATTCGGTAAAACGCTGAATATTACAAGTGGAACTCGCAGATCTTTTGTGATCAATAAGCAAATATAGGAACAGCTTAGCCGTAACTTTTCTATTTAATAATGCATCGTTCATCAGTTTGATAATATGCAATCAGAATGCATGTGTATTTACATCTGCAATGTCGTCGCTTTCAGGGCGACATTTTCGATGGTAACGGAATTGAAAGCGTGATGGTAGTGACGCAAAATGAAATCGACAGGGTGGGGAAGTAACTCGTTACTTGTACAGTTACAACTTTTTTTACTAACTTCAACTTTATTTCTTTACTTTCTTACATTTTTTCGACAGCTAGTAACTAATTTAATAGTTACATTAATATAGTTACTTTATATATTAATGTTTTATTGTCGCCCTAAACTTTATATATTAAATATATTTTTGAAACCTCTAAGATCGCATTAGATCGTCCATTACATCAATGCATTTATCGGTACTTCACAATTCAAATGCAAATTTGATATTGTTGCTTTCATCGCAAGAAAGTAACTGCGAAGCAACGATTCGTTACTTTTTGAGTAGCTGTAACTGCACTGTAAAAAAAGTGTGTAAAATTACATACATAATAAGTGCAGCATATATAATTTATGTACTTTTACACAAAATTTTTTTGTTACTCTTTGTCGTGTAAATACTTGTTTATGCATTATGAAAAATTGTAAAGTTTACGCAATTTAAATCAAGCAGTTTACTTATGTAAGGTAATAATTTTATCTACAAGGTGTAAATTCACTTATGTATGTAAATACTTGTATACACATTTTAATAGATGGTCCCAATATTACCCACTGTAACAATTGCAATTTTACATGTAATTCTTTTACAGTGTGTAACGCGTTACTTTTCAACATTGATAACTTGTAACTGTTACTAGTTACATTTTTAGCTGAAAAAGACTCTAACTAGATACTTTTATGAAGTAACTTGCCAACGCTGGAAACCGATAATTATGCCATCGATGTTTATGTCAATATTGCCATTTAATAAGTTTTAAACCATTTTTATGGGACGAGAAATGGAAAGAAAAATGAGGAAAATCGGTCCTCCTCGACTGCTATAACGTTCCCTTATGCCAAGTCATTCCAGATCGAAGATTTCACGAGGAAGATAGAAAGAGCTCGGCAAAAACATTAATGTCCTTCGACAAAAAAGAGAAATACATTTAAGAGAAAATTTATTCGCATTGAGCTAACGAAATATCTCTTTTTAATATTAAAGGATTAGTTGGAAAGTCTAGCTTTTCGCATGGGATTCCGATAATTTCGTATCGCACGTGATTTTAATCGTTATTCAATTGAATTGCCTCTTCCTCTTTCCGAATTATATCACTCGCCATAGTGTCGACAAATAAAGCAGATTTAATTAATTACGATTAACAGGTTCATTTTATTAATTAACGATTAATCAACATCGTCGGAATCGTGAAAGCGGTTGTATTATTCGTGCGCGTAAATATAAAACTTGATTAACTCATATTAAATGTAATAAAAATGAGCACACACGCGTTCATTATAACTTCTAATTATTACCTTTTAGATACGAACTCTGACAAAGCATATTTATATAACAGCGTGCACGTTAGCGCCCGTTCACTGTGTTTTCTGTACGAATGTATAAAACGTTACGCATACTTCGTTCTTATTCGCGAACCTTTTCCACGAGACGCCTACTTGTTACCGGTTTCTCGAAATGTTAAATTCTTTTTAATCAAATTAAAAACTCTTTAGTTTATTGGTTATTTCAGTTGGTTGATACGAGAATAATATTAGACATAAATATCGCTTGCAATTATTAAAGGGACGGAAAGCTATCAATTTGATCGAAGAATCTTTTACTTGGAAGGTAAAATAAGAAAGACACGAAAACCACGTGCAATTTGAATCGATCGATTAGAACGGAATTATAAAAGAAATTGTAACTAAATATTATACTCCGGGATGAACAATTACATCCACCTCTCTTCTGTCTTACTCGCGAAACTTGGATCCGGAGTGACTCGGCACAAAAGCCTGGGTATAGCAGTCAAAGAGGAACGCCTCCTCGGGTCGATTTTCCTCATCCCTCTTTCCAGTCTATCTATAATCTATCCGTCCATTTGCTTATTCGCCAATCTACGTGCGCGCCCGCCGTTCTCGGAGAAAAAGTTTGCGGTCGGATGAAAGTTTCATTACTTTCGATAATCAAATTCCTCCGTCGACTTTCCACGATGACAGACGGGTCGGGGCGTCGCAAATTGCCGGGGCGAGAAAAG